TTTTTGTTTTATTTTAATTTTTTTTCACAATTCTCAGCATTTCTCATAACATGAACATTAACGTCAACATTAATTCACTTTTCTTCCAGTGGAACTTCTATATTAATTATATTAAATACCTGTCATATAAAGAAGCTGTTATCACTTCTCTTTTCATCTTTTTCGAATCATTTTAATTTCAATTACAAATTCTTTGATTATTTCTAGTTATTCTTAAGATTTTTTCATATTTATTTTTGTTTTATTTTAATTTTTTTTTTTCAATTCTCAGCATTTCTCATAAACATGAACATTAACGTCAACATTAATTCACTTTTCTTCCAGTGGAACTTCTATAATAATTATATTAAATACCTGTCATATAAAGAAGCTGTTATCACTTCTCTTTTCATCTTTTTCGAATCATTTTAATTTCAATTACAAATTCTTTGATTATTTCTAGTTATTCTAAGATTTTTTCATTTTTTTTTTGTTTTATTTTAATTTTTTTTTCACAATTCTCAGCATTTCTCATAACATGAACATTAACGTCAACATTAATTCACTTTTCTTCCAGTGGAACTTCTATATTAATTATATTAAATACCTGTCATATAAAGAAGCTGTTATCACTTCTCTTTTCATCTTTTTCGAATCATTTTAATTTCAATTACAAATTCTTTGATTATTTCTAGTTATTCTAAGATTTTTTCATATTTTTTTTGTTTGACATTCCTTGTTCATTTAAAGAGATGTATTTCTAGAAGTATACTATTTTTTCAAAAGTCTGGGATAATACCTCGAATAAGTTACTTTCAAAACATAAGAGTATTACACAAAAACATTTCAGATTTCTTCTTAAACAAGGGGGTGCGCGTTACACACCGGATTTTACGGGAATTAATATCCGTTTCATATTTTTAAAAATTTTCTTCCTTTTTGAAAAAAAAAGTAGAATTCCATGATGGGTTTGTGGTGGCGTGATATCTACATAAACCGGTAATAGCCACCACGCGATGACGATCGCTTTGGTGGGATGGCTAAGATGCTCGTTTACTGAACGGAAGGTACTCAGATCGAATCTTCCTTTAGATTCAAATAAAAATATTCATACCATGAACGTAAGTTAATTAATTATTATGAAGGGAACTGAGTAATATAATGAAACAATAAAAACGAAGTAGTAAAAATTAGATACAAAAGAGACCTGTGTTCTAAATGCCGAACAAAAAGTTTAAAAGCGTTTCTCAAAAGTCATGTACATATTTGGTTATTCCAGCTGGGTGGACATGGTCTCTAACTCGTAGTAGTCGTTGTACAGAGATGAGTTCGAATACCGGTGCCTGTGATGACCTGTGTGAGGCCGCGGTAGTCTAGTGGTCAACGTCACGCACTCGTGTTTGGCGTGTCGTGAGTTTGAGCCAGCGCAGCTGAAGACCCGCCGTGCAGAGGAGCTGATGCACGTTAAATCTGTAGGGGCTTAAACGTCCTCCTGTTAGTGTGGTGTGGAAGTTAGGAAAGGGGGTACCAGCTCACTGGTGTCATTCTCGTCACTTGATCATGGTTCAAATTTACGTCGCCAAAAGCCCTCGAGTTGCTGAATATGGCGATGTTAATATTCACTCACTCACATTGAAGATCTGCCGAGTCTTTAAAGCTGATACATAACAAATCCATAATAAATGACTGTTCACAGTTCATCTATCTATATCTATTACTTTTTGTCCCAGAAAAATACTTTGCTTTTAAATAAAACTACAAACACACACAGCTTCTGCACCATTTTTTATGGCCATTAATACCCCGAAATTATGTAATTAGTGGGGTACAGTCAAGAAATACGTAATTCCATCACCTATAGGTCAGCAGCAAAATTTTAAGAATTTAAGATTTAAATTTTTTTAGGTTTAAATGCGTTTCAGGAAATATTGAAAAGGAATTTTATGGAGCAGGAAAAGGAAATTAACTTAAGTCGGGAAACTATTGTATGTTAAAATTGTATTTTGAATGTAATTTTTAAAAATGTGCCCTCCTACGATAAATAACAGTTTGATTTTTGCGGATTATTAAACGTTCCATCAGTTCAAAAGCCTAAATTCATATGGCATCATAGTCACATGATAAGTGCTATCACGTTTTTTCATCCAATCAATTCAAGCGTATCACTGCTGCCAACTTTTGCTATCACAGAAACTTCATTTTTTTAAAAAAAAAAATATTAGCTAACAAAAATAACCCATATAAATTTAAAAACTACTTTTGATTTTTAAGGATTAAAAATACATATTTTTTTTATTTTGAAAAGTTTTTTGAAAACTTTTAATACTTCGACAGCCTTACCAAATTATCAAGTATGAAATTATGTCTGATGTGAACTTTGAACTCAATAAGAAACATATGATTTTATGTATCATGTGACCTTCACAAATTAAACTATAATTGGCTGACTGAAATTACTTCTTATAAGTCCTTAAATGTGTAAAGTCTCGGTAATATCCTATTTCAGCTGACGCCTTTTGGCAAAAACGATAGACGTGACTTCCTAATGGCGCCCACATTTTTCTATTTTGGACTACCTTCAGATAGAAGGATAATAATTCACCAGGTTGATTAACAAAAGTGTGGACTAAAGTCGGATCCTTATGAAGATTCTTTTAAAACTTGTTTTCGCTAAATTTCAAAGTGAACCCAAGTTTAGTAAACATTTCTAAAGTTATTTACGTCAATTTATGTGCACATTTTTATGATGTTTCAACAGTTACTCTGAGTTCCTTAACTGATCGAGTGGTCTTCAAACTGTGTTCCATGGAAACATGGGGTTCCACAAGGCATACGCAGGGGTCCACGAGTCACAATAAAACAATCGAAAAGAAATAAATATGTATGCAAAATAGATTCACGTTCTCCATGAAGTTTGTATAGCTATCTAAAGCTCACCCTATTCATTAAAACTGGAAATTCTATTTATGTATAATGACTTTATTTTGCCACACTTTTTAAATTTTTATTATAATATAATAAAAGAATATTAAAACACGCGTTTTTTTTATCTTTATATATATACACTTCCTACTAGATTGTGATTATTCTATTATTTACTATCTCGGGTTCAACGAGATAATTTTATACTCGTAAGTTAGCCCAATGACTTGCAAAACAAAATAGTTTTCTAAAGAAAAATGAACCTCTTTACATTTGTGGAAAACATCTATAATGAAGGAAAGTGAACAACATATCAACAGAGTTGATGTTAAAATCTAAATTTAAGTAAAAACTGCTTTCTAATTTTAGGTTGCAAATTCATACAAAATACAAGGGATTGCTCACACAGCTATAAACATATTAATGCCATTTAAAGCATTGTGTTATTAAATATATTTCTCAACTTAAATGGCTACAAAAACAAATTAAACTCAGAATATGTCACGTGATTTCATTTAATCTCAACAGATCTAGACTTCGACAGTTTGTGTAAAAAATGCAAGCATATATCTCAGTTACTAAATATAATACATAGATGGGTGACATTTGAATCGCAAATTTATCTTATTAATATGTTATTATGTTTAAAAAATTAGAGATTTGACCTTTGTAATAATAAACTAAATACTTCTTTTAATTGTCATCACATAAGGGGCCTATAACATGCGTTTAAATATTATTTTGAGATATATTCTCTTCAAAGTATATATATATATATATATATATATATATATATATATATATATATATATATATATATATATATATATATATATACGTGTGTGTGTGTGTGTATGAAATGGGGTTCCACGAAAAAGTTTTCTAGCTCTAGGGATTCCCCGAAAGCAACTTCAAGCTGTAGGGGTTTCTTGAGTTGAAAATTTGAAAACCACTGAACTGATCCAACGATTTTTAAGATAATGTTGACGAAAATGTACTTCACTATAGTGAGAATCAAACAAGTTGATAACAAAGCCCAGTTACTGTGATAAATTCAGTACCTTTGAATTATTAGTGTTACCAGCTGTAGGCCATTTATATCCAACTGATAATTGTTATCCTCGTTAGAAGAGTAACGTACGGTTTTGCTGTACTCTAATTACAGACCTGTATGTGAATAATATGTAGTATTTGTTTTTCTGTATTCTTTGGGGGGTAAAAAAGTAAAAAAAAAAAAGGAATTCTCGTTTTATATCTGATCTCAATAATAGTTTTACATTCCTACAGCGAATTAATATTAAATCCAATATATAAGACAGCAGTTAATTTTTAAATGTAAAATAAAATGCATTTCCGAAAATAAATGGAGAAATATATATATATATAACATTAAAATTTAAATAATTCAAAAATCTTAGTCTTTCCATTTATTTTTACCCAATAATAAACAGAAAATTTAAAAATGGTTATAATTAACTGGAAAATAAATATTAAAAAAATCAAAAGGTTAGTTGTGAAAAATTCAAAAAAAATTTTAACTTCTTTCATTTATTTTTGTGTAAAGAATTTTTCTGAAAAAAAGAGTGTACTATCAGAACTGTGATATTTATTTTATTTTAATTCGCTTGAAAATAAAATACTATAACCCGCCATTATTTTTAGGCAAAGTTAAATATTGAAGTTTTGATAAATTCAGCAAATATTTTACTTTGCTGTAATTCATAAAGTGTTATAAAAGTTATATAAAGCAATAAAATGAAGATCATAAATTTAAATTGAAATTTAGACATTTTTTATAAAACAGTTGGGATTTTTTTCCCCTTTGTTTTAAATACAGAATGGTTTCTCAATTCCTACTCTCTCTATTAGTTCACTCTCTCCCTATATATATATATATATATCTTGCTCAATTTTTCAGTCGTTAATAAAACACTTTCTATTCAACCATTCAAGTTCAAATACATTCTTTTAAACTTGTAGTGATATAACACTTGATGTTAATACAGTTTTTCCAAAAATTAATTCATTAATTAAATTAATAAATAGTAACAAACAAAAATAATATTCCAACAGCATATATAGAAAGGAAAATGGTTTGTGTCCCTGTAGCGCAATGCATAGCGCGTTGGATTTGTCTAATCAAAGGTTGCGGGTTCGATTCCCACCTGGGATGACCTAATTTCTGAAAATGTGATTTCTTTTTAGTACACAATTTTATGAGAATAATTAAATTTCATAAAGGAATAAAAAGAAACGAACAAAAAATAATCCAACACCCTATATAGAAAGGAAAATGAAAAATTGCAAGGAAAGTCACTCTCTATATTTTGTCAATAGTGTGATTCTGTTATATATATATATATATATATATATATATATATATATATATATATATATATATATGCATACTTATATTAAGGTATGTGATTACCTTCGGAGCACTTTTTTTGAAATATATAAATCTTGAACTAAATTAACACTTTTTTTTAAATGGGGCATAAAACTAGGAAATCAAGTACGATCTCCTTAAAATTAAAATCAATTTTAATATATTAGGAATATTGTGTGAAATTTTAGTGAAAAATTGCAGTTACGGTAAACCTTGCCTTGAAAATTCTAAGTAATATATTCGAAAAATAATTATCCAGTACATAAATAACATCATTATCTTAGCTTAGAGCTATAAGGTTTGTAATACTTTTGAAAGTTTTTGAAATATGTTGTTATCATGCAAGAACTCAATTTTTTACTAAAAATTAATGTTATTTTCTCACAAAAAAGAGCAATAAAATACATAAATATATACACAGAGACTAGATTATAGTCTGTACTGGAGATACAACTAAATAAAACATTTTCTGAAAATTTCAATTTAATATTTTAAAAAGAAATCTTGTGAACTATAGCGTGAAGAAAAAATGGAAAAACGTAGTTTCTCAGAAAATGCATTTAAGATTTTAATAGAGTATGAAAAAATTTTCTACTAATTGTACACATTTTTTAAACTCCACATATTTATAGGATACCTCTTTAGCTTCATGTTTAACTAATTCGGACTCTTTTTTAACATTTTGTTGTTTTCTGGCGAGTTTTACAGACTATAACAATTGTCGTTTTTAGTGAAATTTTGATGAAAAATTACCGTTACACAAAATTCTAATAAATGTATTCAAATAATACATATACAGTTGGTGAATAACTTCTTCATATGGGTTAGAAATTAAAAGATTTGAAATACTTTTGAAAGTCTTTTAAATATACCCATTGTTATGCATAAAAAAGATTTTTTTAAAAAATATATGATTTTTTTTTATAAAAAAGCAAAAAAGTACATAAATATATTCACAGAGATTATATTTTGATTCATAATACATATGGAACTAAATAAAAAGTATTCTAAAAATTTCAATTCAATATCTTAAAAATATTTTGTGTAGGGATCTACTTCCTGTTTTGTAAACTCCTTTTTTGTTTTACAAATTATGGTATAACTTTGGTTCTAAATATCCTAGAAACAAAAATAGAGTGTTTTAAAAATCTTAAATACATGATCTAAAGAGTGGTTTTTTTTCCAGGTATAGAAGTTTAAGTTGGCATTACTTTCCAAGATGGCGACCGATTTAACAGCTGTCAAGTGATTTATTCTCAGTTTGGTTTGGCAATTCATCAAAACGATCATCAAGGAAGGCGTAGATTCGTCGAATGGGCCCAAAACGAGATTGCCGTTGTTCCCGATTTTCATAAGCGAATTTTGTTTAGCGATGAAGCGCACTTCTGGTTGAATGGCTACGTCAACAAACAAAATTGCCGCATTTGGAGTGAAGCTAATCCACAAGTGTATGTCGAAACACCGTTACATCCAGAAAAACTGACTGTTTGGTGCGCTTTATGGGCTGGTGGAATCCTCCTTCAAAAACGATGAAGGCCACACAACGTTACAGTCAATGGTGATCGGTATAGAGCCATGATTACTAACTTTTTCATTCCTGAATTGAACAATCATGATGTCCAGGAGCTGTGGTTCCAACAAGACGGTGCAACATGTCACACAGCTCGTGCCACAATCGATTTATTGAAAGACACGTTTGGTGACCGCCTAATTTCACGTTTTGGACCTGTGAATCGGCCTCCAAGATCTTGTGATTTAACACCGCTAGACTATTTTCTGTGGGCCTATGTAAGGTCATTGGTCTATGCGGATAAGCCACAAACGCTTGTCCATTTGGAAGACAACATTCGCCGTGTTATTGCCGATATACGGCCACAAATGTTGGAAAAAGTCATCGAAAATTGGACGTCCAGATGGGACTACATCCGAGCCAGCCGTGGTAGTCCTATGCCAGAAATCATATTTAAAATGTAATGCCACAAGATTATCTTTCGAATAAAAAAAATTCATGTCAATCGAATAATACATCGTTGTTTTATTGAAATTTATAGTTCTATACCTCTAAAAAAACACCCTTTATAAAATAAAGGATAAAAAAAATTTTGAAAATTTTCACCAAAACGGCGAATTTTGGGTAGTCACATACCTTAATTGTAACTATTTAATAAAAAGTAAATAAAAGAAAAAATTTCTTTGTTTACCCAAGTTGGAAATGACTTAAAAATGCTTTTTATATTACTTGTTTTATCTGAAGTTCCAATAATGTCATCCTTTAAGGACATGGTTGGAAATTGACATAGTTCTTTTTGAGTGAGTGGTTATTATCATCGACTACTATAAAGCTACACGAGGGCTATTGGCGACCAATCTCCTAATTTTGAAACTTGATCAAGTGACGAGGACGACATCTGAGATGGCACCACTTTCCAAATTACCACACCACGGCAACGAAGAAAATTTAAGCCATGACAGATTTAATGTGCATTATCTCCTCTACACGGCGGGTGTTCGAGCGAATGACCCTCTGCCCCCGAGTTCGTAACTAACGCGATTCCTTTCGATGAGGGAATTGATTTAAATGGAAAATTTCAATGATGATTTAAATTTTAGTTTTTACTTCAGAAAAAGATTATTTCATTGTCCATTTTATAAATAAAATATTCAAAATGTATAAACTCGTAATTTCAAAATTGAAGATAAAAATTTGTATTACTAAGCCCTTAATCGATTCGCCTGTACAACGTAAGGGCTACCGAATGTCGGCCTCAACTGGTAAGAGAGAGAAAATAGTTGAGAAAAGAAAAAGAAAATAGCAGTGCCCGTACTGCATACGGGCACTGCTATTTCTTTTCTCTTTGATTTACGCTTATTTTTAATTCTTATAGTCTTTTTCTATAGTATTTTGAAAAGGGAATGCAGTTTGTCTGTGGTACTGAAATGATTTTCGTCCGGCAGGATTTTGTGGTGAAGGCGGCAATTAGTATGGTGTTCAGTTATAAACAATAAACAAGTTATATAAAAAAAAATAAGTCAATTCCTACTTAGGTCAATAAAGTAAAATTTTATTTTAGCTACTTTTTATTAAATAGTTACAAATAATTTAATTATGTATATACATATGACAGAATCACAATATTAAGTGACAAAATAGAAAGCGATTTTCCTTGCAATTTTCCATTTTCCTTTCTATATAGAGAGATGGACTATTTTTTTGTTCTCGTTACTATTTACTCATTAATTAAATTTAAATATTCTAATAAAATATAGTAAAAGTGAAATCACATTTTCAGAAAATAGGCCATCCCAGGTTCGAACCCACGACCTTTGGATTAGAAGTCTAACGCGCTACCCATTACGCTACAAGGACTATATACACTGGCCTCAAAAAGTTAAGGTACAACCGGGTTTTTGTGTCTAATTTGCAAATGAATGAATGTAGAGACAAAAAATTTTGAGGATATGTGCATTAAATAGTTTTTTATTGAATGCGTCATAGAAATTTTTATAAGTGTATTGCAAAAACGATTTATGACAAAAAAAAAAAAAGCAATATCTGCGGAAAAGTCCATTCTTGGAGAAAAACAGCACATCACAGTGTTATGTGGTAAAAATGGCATAAAAACAATACAAAAATGGGTTCTAATAAGGAATGTGTCCACCCCTAACTTGAATGCAATGGCGGCATCGATTTCCCATGTTGTTTATTAAGTTGTCGGACACCGGAATAGGAAGCGAAGACCCAGACACAGAGTAAGCCTTGTTTCAGCTCATGTAACGACCTTGAGGAGGATTTAAAGCAGCAACCTCTCTGCCAAGATAGTCCCAAAGATGTTCTATCGGATTCACGTCTGGAGATCAAGCTGGCCATTCCATTCGTTCCAAACCGTGATCCTCCAGATACTCCTCAACAATCCGAGCTCGGTGAGGTCGTGCATTATCATCCATCAGAATAAAGTCGTTACCAATAGCAGCAGCATATGGGCGGACATATGGATCAAGGATCTCATTCCGATATCTAAGACCAGTTACGGTTCCTCCATGGAAAACATGCAGGTCAGTGTGGCCACCGAGCGAGATCCCTGCCCAAACCAGGATTCCACCACCTCTATAACTGTGTCTTTCAACAGTGTTGGATTGATGGTATCTAGTGCGCTGTTCCCTCCAGATCAGTAGACGCCCTGAATCACTCTCCATTGTAAATCTGGACTTGTCTGTGAACAGCACAGAAGCCCATTGTTGCTGCGTCCAAGAAACATGTTCTCTTGCCCAGCATAAGCGGTTCCTTCGCTGTCATCCGTTGAGGGAACGCACACAACTGGTCTTCTTGCATACAGACCTGCATTGTGAAGACGATTTCGCACCGTAGTAGCGGAGATTCTTCTTCCTGATGCTTGAAAGTGGTCTGCAACGAGCTGCGGCACAGTAGTGGTTCTTCTCCTTCGTGCCGAAAGAGCTAGAAAACGGTCTTCTGCAGGTGTTGTAGCTCGTGGTCGGCCTGGAACAGGTCTTCTGGACACAGAATCTTCGGATTGGTATTGATCCCAAAGTCGCTGAACAACACTACGAGACACACATTGAGACGTCTAGCAGCATCAGCCTGCGACAATCCCATTTCCATCCATCCAACTGCCCGCCACCTTAACGAATTGGGTAAACGACGTCTCTGAGACATTTTCTAAACTCTATTGACTATTGTCACCGAAACTGCCAACAACTGTTGAAAATCAACACAACTTACACACAAAAGTACGAAAGCTTCATTTTTGCATATTTTTCTCTCACTC